ACAGTAACCGAGCAACCACTGAGTGCAAGACACTGTGATGAGCGGTGAATGTTGCCGTTCCTGTTTCCAGAGAGTTTCCAACCTAAATGGAGAGAGAGACCCTAATACTATGAAGTAGACTGGGTTCACTGTTAAAATCCCCATCTGACCTTGAGCTTTGTAAAGTCATTATCCAGTGCCCACTACGATGTCTGACATATACTGGTATGAAATAAACATGTACTGAGTTAATGGAGGTGAGACGAATTCCACCTGGGTGCATTAGGGAAGGCCTCAAAGTCTTGAGTGGCAACTTAGGTAGGTAGGATTTCAATAGGGAAAAACGTTGGGTGAAAGGTAAAATGGCATTTCAGGCAGAGAACAGGAAGCTTCAAAGCATAATGGTAGCAAAACATAACAAATATAAGAGAACGATGATTGGGGGTGCCTGGGTGGCTCAGTCAGTTGGGCGTTTGCCTTTGGCTTGGGTCTGATCCCAAGGTCCTTGGATCAAGCCCGCATCAGACTCCTTGCTCAGCAGGGAGCCTGCTTCTCCCTCTCCCTGCTGCTCCCCCTGCTTGTGTTCTCTCTCTGTCAAATAAATAAATAAAATCTTTAAAAAAAGAAAAAAAGAATGATGATTGGCCATTTTGTCTAGGTAAAAAAAGTATGTGATCACTTCTAACTTAAGAAGGGGTGATAATTAAATATATATGCCTTCATAAGTTTTTTTTAAAAAATAACTCAAGCAGACATTCTTCAGAAATATGCGTTAGTGAAATCTATTTATTTTACAGATAAGGACAATGTTTCTGTTTACGCTGATGATGGATTCCTTGCAAATGGGAGGTACATAAATGTACAAATCTTTATCTGCAACCAAACATAATTTAAGAAAAAAAAACTGCTTTTTTTTTTGTTGAGTACAAAGAACTTTGTTGAGTACAACGCTCTTTGAAATTTTTAGAGTCTGTAAAATAAAAATAAAAATATTACTATAAACTATATAGTTTATATAGTTTGAACTATAAAAATATAGTTCAAAAATATGTTTTGTGATTGCAAAATAGCTCTGAATGGAAACTGTTTTCAAAGAAACTCAGAACTGTTTCTGAGTTTTATGAGGATGATAATGGGGGAAGGGATAGAGAGATGAGGTCTCTCCCAGAGCTTCGCCATATTTCCTGGGATGCGCAATCACCTTCATTTGAGGTATGCAGTATCACCTCAAACAATAGTTGTAAGCAACTGAAGATCAAGGTAAGATGGCCTTAGGGCTTTACTTGGTCTTATTGGAAGTCCAATGTTCTGTCCCAAACTTCCATTTCTTGAGGCACACACATTTCAAAGTAATCTTTCACTCATCCTCCACTGAAGTCTTTTACTGTGTTGCATGTCCTGAAATTTTCCCTCATGTCTTCCGTGGTCGATATTCACATGGTAGAGCCTTGGAAATTTGGTACTCAATTTAATTCACACACACCTAGACCTAAGACTTTGCACTGGTTCCTACTGCCCTTACCCCACCCAGTCATGGCACTGGTTAGAATGACCTGTACAATGAGTGCAGAGAATCAATATTATGAAGTTAGGCAGAAGAGAAACCAACCAAGGATACTGAGAAAAGGTAAGAAGCAAGGTAAGAGATAAGCAAGGAAACCGTGGGATCTTGGAAGTCATGGAGGGAAGTGCTCCCAGCAAGGATCTCTGTTGAATCCAACATTCAAGGATGCTGAGTTCTGCTGAGAGTTCAGGGAAGTCGAAAGTAGAAAAATGACCAGTGAAGGCTGTGACTTGACAACATCTTGGTCAAGGGATGGAAACAGAAGCCCAGCTGGGATGGCTTGAAGTACAGGAAATGAAGACAACACGTATGGACAGATGTCTCAGAAAGTTTTGCTAAGAATGGGGGAGATGGAAGGAACATTTTTTGAAAAGTATATTTATATTTGGTTGTGATTCAAAAGTGAGGGAAAATAGACAAAGCAAGAGAGAGAAAGGGAGAAGAGACAAAGCATAATTACAAAGGCTAAACTGTTGAAAAGGAAGAACAATTTCAAAAATTGTTGAATATTGTTGAAAAGTTGCCTTTTGTAGGAACAAATTTACCTCAAAATAGCAGTAATGAAGGCAAGGGAGCAGATGCTAGCAGGGTGGATGATTTTGGGGGAGGGTGTGGGGATGCTGAGGAAATTCCCACCTCAGTTCCGTCTTAATTCTCCCAAACACAAACTCTGTGACAGACAAGCTCTCTTCTGAGCTATTGTTCAAAATATTCCCTTTGAGTACGTTTCTTCCCCTCCTCTTGTCAAAGATAAAAACCAGGGAAGTGAAAAATTACAAAGGGTTATTCAGTGTAGACGCTGTATCTGTACCTTCTAGCTGGCAATTATCTTTGGGGACTGGGAGATGTCCCGATCCTTCCTGATGACTACATTTCAAAGGAATGGCTTTCAAGTCCTTGAGAAAGGCACTCCTGAGTTGTAGAAGGTACACATATGTCTACCTCAAAGGTACAGAGAAAGAATCCACAATTGTAAGCCCTTCTTAATAAATGTTCTAAGAAACAGCAGTCCAGGGCTTATGTGAAGTGTACAAACAGTAAATACTTTTGACAGCCTTGAGCTTTCTCAGACAGGGACCTTACAGGAGGCTAGGCTCATCCCAGGAATGAGGCCTTGAGCTGTTAGAAACTATGTTAGTGTTGGTTTAAGTATTTTAATGTGGGGGGGGGGTGTGGACAAAATCATTTGTGCTGGGAATCTGTAGTTTTTATAGAACACAGTTGAGGTCCAGCTGAGAAGGCTCAAAGAGGCCTGGCTCAAGGTTTGGTAAAAAAGAAATTGTCACTCTCCACCTACCAGAATCACATTACCCTTTATTGTTTAAAAGGAGAAAAGCTTGGGCTGCCTGGGTGGCTCAGTCAATGAAGCATCTGCCTTTGGTTCAGGCCATGATCCTAGGGTCCTGGGATCATGGCCTGTGTCAGGCTCCCTGTTCAACAGGGAGCCTACTTCTCCCTTTCCCTCACCCCCTCCACCGTTTATGCTATCCCTCTCAAATAAATAAATAAAATCTTTTAAAATGACAAGAGGAGAAAACCTGCATGCTGTTTTCTTGCCTTATTCCAGCCAAAGTGATAGCCCTCTTCTGAATTCATACTTACTATAGTACTTCTCATATAGAAAGACATCATGTTGTGCCTCTGTGCAACTTTTATTATCCTGTTTCATTGTTTATTTGTTCATGTATTTTTCTGGATTCCCCAATTAGCTACAATTTCCAATCAGTGCACTGGGCTAATATCTCTGACATGTTTTTACAGTTACAGGTTCTGCACAGCACCTGGTCATATGGAAAGGACTCAATCCAACTTACAGGGTATCCATTCACCTTCACTCATGCCAGAATGGTTGTAGTGGGCGCCTACTTTGTGCATCTCATTTTCCCAATGCTGCTGGGATGAAGCTCAGTAAGATCCATCCCTGGCTTTTAGTCATGGTTCTCCCTCTTCTCTTCAGAGTCCTGCCATGTTCTATCGAGTAGATATACACATTTATTTGAAGCTTTTAGAAATCAAATTCTGGGGCTGGCTGGGTGGCTCAGTGGGTTAAAGCCCCTGCCTTCGGCTCAGGTCATGATCCGGGGGTCCTGGGATCGAGCCCTGCATTGTGCTCTCTGCTCAGCAGGAAGCCTGTCCCCGCGGCCCACCCCCACCCCCGCCTGCCTCTCTGCCTACTTGTGATCTCTGTCTGTCAAATAAATAAATAAAATCTTTTTTAAAAAGTCGAATTCTGCAGAACCTGATCTGTAAGACAATATTAGATGGGTCAGCATATATACAATTTAGAAGTCTGTTATTCAAGAATCCCTTTACAACCACAGGCTTGGACTCAGGATATATGAAAGTCATAACCACAGTGAGATACCACTCATGCCCACTAGGATAGCTATAATGGAGAAATCAGAAAATAACAAGTGTTGGCAACTGAAGAAATTGGGAACCCTTAAACACTGCTGGTGGAAATGTAAAATGGTGCAGTCACTTTGGGAAACAGTTTGGCAGTTTCCCAACCATTTCAATACAGGGTTACCACATGACTCTCCTAGGTATGTAGTCAGTAGACATGAAAACATCTGTCCATGCAAAAACATGTACAATTTTCTTTGCAGCATCATTCATAATAGCCAAATGATGAATGAGTTAACAACATGTGGTATATCCACATACTAGACTACTCTCCAGCAATAAGAATGAAGTACAGATACATGAATGAACCTGAAAAAGTTAAGCTAAATGAAAGAAGCCAGACACAAAAGGCTACATAACGTATGATTGCATTTGCGTGATATGTCAGGAATAGGCAAATTCATAGACACAGAAAAGTTCATCAGTGCTTGCTAGGAGCGTGGAGCTAGGAGGGTGATAACTGAAGGGTATTGGGGGAGCTAATGACTAAAGGCTACAGTGAGGGGTACCTGTGACTATACTAAAAGCCACTGAATGGTACACTGTAATGAGTGAATTGCTTGGCATATGAGTTCTATCTCAATAAAGCTGTTAGAAAAAGCGAAAAAAGTCATGCGACCGAGTATTTCAGCTACCAAGAGATCGAGAGCCCAAACAGTTATTTCGAGTCCCCGCGGCCAGCAGAGCAGGGTAGTTCATGGGCAAGCATCTGTCTCCGTGCATACAACAGTACAAACGCCGCGGTGCCGCGGGTGGCGAAACCGGGAACGTTCGTCGTTCAAGGACAGACCGCAGGCTGGCCCCGGTCCTTCCCGGGCCCCCGGGGGCCTGAGTACCTCGGGGTCAGCGAGCGCCCCTCCTCAGGCCTGAGTCACGGCGCCGCCGGAGTCCCCACGCGAACATGCTCCGCTGAGCGCGGCCGGGACGCCGCGGGCCCTGGGGCGCAGCGTCGGGCGGTCGGGCTGTGGGGCGCCCAGCGCCGCCACTGCACGCGAAGCCAGGCCCCCGCCCGCGCTCCCCTCCCGGCCGGGACCTTGCAGGCCGGTTCACCGGACCCGCCTCCCAGCCGCGTCCCTGACTCCTCGCGGACGACAGCGGCGCCCGAGCCGTGCGTCCCCGCGCGCCCGCGCGCTGCCCTCCCTCCATGGCGTTTATCCGGAAGAAGCGGCGGGAGCAGCAGCTGCAGCTCTACTCCAAAGAGCGGTGAGCGCCTGCCCGGGACCCGCGGGCGGAGGCGGGGAGGGCGGGAGCCGGGGTCGTGGCCTGGGACGTGCTCGGGGGCGGGAGCGGGGTTGCCGGCGGGGGTCCGAGAGCCCGGTCCCGGTGTGGGGGCCCCGGCACAAAGGCCGAGGCCCGGGGCGTGCTGGGCGCCCGGGCGGGGGTCGCGCCGGAGCCCGGGAGCCGGGTCAGGGTCGGGTCCGGGTCCGGGCCGGGTCCGACGGCAAGCGGAGCGCAGGCGGAGCTACGCTGGTCCCGGCTCCTGCGGCCCGGCTTACCCGGAAGAGGCCGCGCGGGTCCCGGCGTGGACTCCCTCGCGGGCGTCCGGCCCGGAGCGCGAGCCCCGGCGTTCTCTAGAGGGGAGCGGCTGGGGGTGCGCGGGCCGGCGGCCTCCCTTGGACCCTGGGTCCCCGGCTCTGGGTCCCCGCACTGCGTGGGAGCCACAGCGTTGTTCCGCCCGGGCCGCACTGTGCGGGCACCGGGGAAGACGCGGATGCTTCGCTTCCCTGCGCCTTTTTCTGCCAACTTCTTCGGACGGAAGGGTAAGGCCTGCCCAGCTCCCTGCCCGGCTCGGCCGCGAGGTGGGCCGCAAGAAAGGCCTTCCCCTGAGAAAAGCCAAGCGCCACCTCACAAACATGTTCTGCCGAGCAATGGGCCTCATTGTACTTAAGTGTATTTGAAGGCTTTGCATTCGAACGCTCGGTGAGGCACACCAGTCATTATCCCCAGATCCCAGTAAGGGGGACCAGTAAGGATTTGGGGTCCCAGGGCGAGCCCAAGCTCAGATGATCTCAGAGCAGCGCCGTTTTAGTTTCTGATCCTCAGCCTCCAAAGGAAATCGTTTGTAAAAACAAAACAAAACAACACACAAAAAAACTCACTTCTGCTCTAAGTGTATTTCTGGTGAATGAATAACTTGCTGATTTTCGGGTTTGTGGTCCCAGGTGCCAAAAGGAACTGGGAATGAATCATTTTACAGTTATTTTGATTGTGAGAGCAAGTTACTCAGGAGTGCTGCTAGCCTGTCACCTTGTTGTGTGATGGATGGTGTAGGGAAGGAAAAAAATCTTTACCCTTGAAGGTCTTCCAGCTGGGCTAAATGAAATATACATAAAACAGAATAACAGGAGAAGAAAGCCAAAGTTTTATCACATGTATACAGAGGCCCAATATTAAAATAGAGACCTAAAGAAATGACCAAGGCAAGTAGTTTTTATATATTTTAGACAAAGAGACAATACATTTGTGAGGCATTGACAGGGTAGAGAAAACAGATGTTTGGGAGCTTTAATTAGGAATTCTAAGCAGAATTTAGGCTGAGGTAGTAGATTAGAAAAAAAAAATAGTAACAAGGTTTGTTTCTGCAGCTTTCTTCGCTTCTAAGTCCCTATCTCTGGTGTAAAGATGTCTTTTTACTTTTTAGTACAGGGAGATTTGTTTCCTGCTTTCAAGGGGGCAGAGGAGGGTCTGAGTGACCTTGCACTGGCTATTTCTTAAGTAACTTTTATTTCAAAAAATATGCTAGAGGGGCACGTTTTGGGGCAGCCTGCCCTTGGCCCCTGCAGTGGACACCAACAAAGCAGATTATATGTGGAAATACAGGTGTAGGCTCTAAGGTCTGTGTGATCTTGCAGCATCCACACTTATTTTATAGGTATTGACTTGACCCGTTTCATCCAAACATTCATATCCTTTTCTAATCCCTAATACTGGCCTGCCCAGGATATCCATAGTTTAAGATTTTATTCTTCACTGTAGAGAAGAAGAGAAGATGTATCAAAAAAGCATATCTTGGATATGGCTTCTGAGAACGTTTTGATTTTATGATTTGGTTTTATCCACGGAAAGACTTACTTTTAATGCTAAATAATAACTAGACCCTAAATAAAGTAACTCACACTCGTAGAGGCTCTTCTGACTGCATTTATAATGCCTGTTTCATGTGGAAGGACCTCGAGGAGAGTTTCTTTGTTCTGTACCAACAACATTAAGAATTGAGGGTATTCTGTATTAAGTAGATGGATGTGCAAATTTGCATCGTAAGAACTTAGGAACACTTGAATTGCCATCGTGTTCTGTGATCAAAGAGTCGTTTGTAACCATTCTTGGCCCCTTTGGTATAGAGAGAAACCTGTTTTCTTTAGATCTGCCAGTTAATTCCATAGCTGTCATTTTTGTTTAATTTGGTTGGTTTATACAGCTCAGCAATGTCACACAAATCTTAAAGTCTGCTCTTGGGTTTCAGTGTATAATCTGCTTTGTGTGTATCTATTGGTCAGACAGTATGACAGGCTAGCAGCGCACCGAGATAACTGTAGCTCTCAAAACCAAAACATTTATTCGTCCGTCAGCAGGGAGCCAATATTCCTGAGCATCAGGAATCTGAAGAAGTTGGTGTCGCAGAGCTTCGATATATTTGGATCCTCTTTGCTGACTGCTCCAATTTTTTAACTCTTGGCTCCCTAGCTTTGCAACCTTGGGTTGAGAAGCAGACTTCTACCCAGAAGGTTTCTACAGAATACTAGTTGGATGAAAGGACTCTGTCTCACAATTAGGTGTGGGTTGGAACCATGCTGTCCCTATAAACCTTAGAATGCACTCTGAAAGAGAGAAATATTTTAAACCGACTTTGTTTCCACACAGATTTTTCCTGGGTCATCCCTTTGTGGCAATAAACACCAGTTAGCACAAGAATTGATAAAGGTCATTGGCTGAGGCATACCCATGAGAACTGTTACTTTCCTTGGGACTGCTTCAGGGCTGACCCAGCAAAAGGCCTAACGTCTTCAGAGTTGTGAGTTCATTGGTCCCCCTCTCATGCTGCTTGTGAGATTTTAGAGTTCTACCACTACCAGATAATAACCCCAGGAAATGAGAAACCTGAGGTTAGCTTATATTTCTTTTAGTATTAAACTGATGCTACTGCATTTAGGGTAAGCAGTATTTCTACAAAGGTAGAAGCAGAGAGACCGGTTGGGAGTTTCCTGGATTGGTGGCTTAGACCAAGATGGGGGCAGAAGAAATGAAGAGAAGTGGATGGGTTTTAGATATTTTGGGGAGGTAGAGTGGACAGGTCTTGGAGTGATACATTTCATATAAAAGGTAACAGAGAAAGAATCCCAGCTAGAGCTGTCAGGTAAAATACAGAATGCCCAGTTAAATTTGAATTTCAGATGAATAGTGAAAAATCTTTTCGTGTAAGTATGTACCATGCAATATTTGGTACACTTATATTAAATTTTTTGTAGCTTATCTGAAATTCAGATTTCACTAGGCATCCTGTATTTTCATTTGCTCAACATGGCAGTCCTCTCAGGTTTCTGGCTTAAACAACTGTACAGTGGTGCCACTTACTGGTAATGTTTATAAAGAAATGCTTTGGTAATGTTTGGTATTAGAAAACAAAAGAGATACTTGGTCATTCAGGTTAAGTACACTAGTATCCTGGTTAAGATATAGATGCCAGAAACTATATTAATTTTACTGGTTTTTAAAAATTCATTGTGTAGGTGTTAATGGAAAAAAAATTCAAAAGACAATTCACATATCTTTCTTTTGAATTGTTGGAAATAACAAACATATAGATAAGGAAATAAACGTTAGCAGGTAAGGATATTTTACAAACGGCTGCTATTTAAGATATTTCTATTTTAAGATTTAGAAGTAGGCTGATTGTTAAATATTTTTTATCTTTACATTTAGAAGTGGTGTGATGGAAGAATAGCTGTTTTTTCTTGGATGACTAGAAATTTAGAGAGTTGAGGCATGCTCCTACTGGGGGAGAGTCAAATTTTTCTCTTTATAATGTTGTACAACAAATTACTTAGGTGTAGCTTGTAAGCTGTCATCCCAGTATAAAACATTAGTAATCATGAATTATATATTGAGCACACATATTTCCTTAATAGTTTTACAGGCACTTGATAGAATTCAACTTTGTTTTCAAACATTCCATGTGTATGTATTCTCTTGGTTATGCTTATATTAAGTTTCTTGGCTGATATTAAATATCTTCAGCTTAATATGTTATTTTTTATTTATTATACCATAAGTACTGGTTGAGAGGGAAAAATGTTTGCTATCCTCCTGTTTATTCTCTTATTTCTAAGACTGACCGTCCTGTTCTTGTAATATCTCATTGAGATATGCCAGGTGTTGAAAATGGAAATAAACTGTAGAGCCACAGTTAGTCAGGAATGCTGAAGGGTTGAAGGAAATCTACCAAACTATGACTCAGAAGTAGGATTTATTTTTCTCACATAAAAAACAAAAAACAAAAAAAAAATTGTGGGAGGAGATATAAATGTTGCAGATATTTTAACTTAGAATTTACACTGTATTTACCCAAACTGCATTACTAGTCCTTCACCTTATGCCCTTATGGCTGCCTAAAAATAGCTTCTTCCAAAATGGTTACCATTTAAGAAGACACAAGAAGGGGTGCCTGGGTGGCTCAGTGGGTTAAAGCCTCTGCCTTCGGCTCAGGTCATGATCCCAGGGTCCTGGGATTGGGCCCCACATCAGGCTCTCTGCTCAGCAGGGAGCCTGCTTCCCTCTCTCTCTTCCTGTCTCTCTGCCTACTTATGATCTCTGTCAAATAAATAAATAAAAAATCTTAAAGAAAAAAAAAAGAAGAAGAAGAAGACACAAGAAAACAACCATAAATTTTGAATGGGTTTGCTCTATGATTTTCATTAAAAATTTTTTTAATGTGATATAAAGTTGGGTATGGTCACTTAATGAATTCATTGCTTGTTTTTTTCTTTTTTTTAAAGATTTTATTTGTTTATTTGACAGACAGAGATCACAAGCAGGCAGAGAGGCAGGCAGAGAGAGAGGGGGAAGCAGGCTCCCCGCTGAGCAGAGAGCCGGATTCGGGGCTCGATCCTAGGACCCTGGGATCATGACCTGAGCTAAAGGCAGAGGCTTTACCACACTGAGCCACCCAGGCGCCCCATTGCTTGTTTTTTTCTAAATAGCATTGC